TAATAATAATAATAATCCTATCTCAATAATCGCCTGACAGACCTCGATATGCGAATCTGGCCTCGATTCAGCGTCGGTGTCATCGTAAGTGTCTTCGTCGTATTTATGGCAATTCTTCTTTCGTTGCATAACACATCCCGCAAGCTTTATATAGTGTAAGACTTACAAGTATAAAATATCAAGTCCCTGGACGGAAAACTACCTTATACAAGTGTGATTAAAATTCTATCTATCTATCTATCTTATCAGGTTGAGATCTGCTGCATTATGTTAATATCTATCCATCTCTCTCTCTCTCTCTCTCTCTCTCTCTATCTATCTATCTATCTATCTACCTATCTATATATCTATCTATTTATCTATCTATCTAATCAGGTTGAGATCAGCTGCATATATCTATCTATCTATCGATCTGCTGCATATATCTATCTATCTATCTATCTATCACAGTCTGATAAAATCAATCTATCTACCTCTCTCCTTCAGTTATGTGATATTCCGCTTCAGGTGATGGTAGATGATGGTCCGCCACAACTTCCCATGCTTTTAAATCTCTATAACGTCTTACCTCTTACGTCTTACATCTTTACTTCTTTCTCCCTGGACTGCTATCCAGTCACACAAACTTGTTAAGTAGCTTACTCGATCTTTCCCTCTGTTTGTCATGACTTCACTAATTGGGGTTCTGAACAAAAATGTAAACATGTTAGAGGACCTCCAAAAATCTAATGCGTTTGGTCACTTGACCTTTTTCTATATCTGTTATCTGTTCTGATTCGAATATTCTTCAACATTTTTTTTTTCTTATAGTGAAAATTCTTACAATGAACTCGTGTATACATTGATTTAAATTATGGCGATAATTTCCCAAACCAAGTTAAAGATGGTGAAAACGGTAACGAATCTAAACCAAGCTATTGCTGACGAGCTCTGGAGTTCAAGAGACAGATTTTCAAAAGTCCTCTCAAAGATTCAAGGAGCTGGAAGTGTTTCGGATCGACCAATATATGATCGAGTCCAAAGACTGTAGCATATGACCTCTTTATTGGACTTGTTCAATTACTTTTGCAATGGATTTGAGCCAGAGTCGCTTATCTGTTTTTTTTTTTTTTTTTCTTTTTTTCACCTCAAGCAAGGCGGGAAGCCACTAGCACGCAAGGGGTTACAGAGAATTGGAGCGAGAACAATTAGGAATAATAGAGTAAAAGATGAAGAGAAGAATAGGGGATAGATAAAGGCATCTGGAGACGTCGATTGACATTACATTTGAATAGTTGAAGATTATAGCTATCAGGGAAACAAGAAAAGCGGTGGAAGTTCCACAAGGGAGAAGTGCGAGACATGAAGCTATTGGAGTAGAAGAGACGGCTACATTTAACAGTTTCGACAGTGAAAGGGTGAGAGAAGAGCGAGATGCCAGCCTAATTGAACGCTTAAATTCATGACGTCTGGGAACCAGCGAAAGCAGCTCATCGGAGCAGTTAATGTGAAAGTATTTGTAAAAAAGACAGAGGAAGGCGACGGCACATCTGTGAGAGAGCGACTGCAGACGAGATGTCAGAAGTTCAAGTACGGAATATATCATGGCAGAAAAATCAGAAGATAATTTCAAGAAGAAAAACGGGAAAAAGACAAGCACTTAATTCAAATCAGCTCAACTGATAAAATTTTAACTTCTGTTACTACAGATAATTTTAGACAGAGGCCTTCGGTCCCGATTATTAAGAAACTGTAGCCTGTCACTGCAGTGACCATGTTAGCGTTCTCTCATTTATTTCCGTTACACACGTGATGACACGGCAGATCGAGGGTAGGCTTACATAATTTAAAAAATAGAATATCCCATCCGTTTAGCTCCCACGATCATGCCTCTTTCGCATTTCGGTAATTCACGTTCCCTTGCCTTGAAGGGCCAGGCAGGAGTTCGAAACTGACCTATCATTTGCCGGAGCCACAACTTATACAGATCTGGATAGTATCACGTCGCCAAGAACGCCATGCCATTAAAATTGCTTGTTGCTCTCCAATGGCTTTTGAAACGTCAGTGCCAAGACTCTAGATCTGTTTAGAGGAGGAACTACTGACAAGACCCACAAAGTGGTTTTAACCGAACACGTATGTCTAATAATGTCGCGAAATATTAGAACATTAATAATATAAGACTTAAATCACTGGAAAAAGAAAACAGTAAATGAATACAAAACAATGGTCCAAATCTTTCGTAAGAACAATAAAAAAACGAATAAACGTAAAAAGTACAAATATATATATATATATATATATATATATATATATATATATATATATATATATATACCAGGTTCATAAGACAATTCATGAAATTTTATTAATAGCGATAAAACAGAAAACTAATAAAAATGTCTCAGCCCCTCTTAATAGCATTGTGAAACCAGCATATTACAACCATGTTGACCGGGAATCAATCAATTCAAGCAAAGTGAATTATGCTTGAAAAAGTTAAAATGCTGACATATCCTTC